CCAAGAAGCAGCCCTTTCACAAATGAGCATTTATGCACAGAAGAAGAAAAAAAAAGTTCATCTGCGAGCACTGTGTGTTACAAGTAGGAACCTCCTGCAGCAGAGTAACCATGCATAAATCCGTCATTGTCGTGTCGCATCCTGCAACTCATCCAGCTTCTTCTTACAGTTGTTTTCCTGTGAAAATTACAAGATAGTTTTTTCCCCCAAAAAATCATTTCGTGCCACCATATAAACAGAATGGATCCACAGTTTTGAGTCCATTATTACTTTTATCACACAGTAAATCATTTTATCTAATCTTCTGCATTTTACACAGGCAGTACACTGTTATATTGATATCATGAGAAAACCTGTAATTATTTATGATTGCATTTGCTGTAGTATGTAAGCTTAACTTTCACACAGTGTAAAACCAATTAGGAGTCTTCTCATGGAGGTTTATTGCAAACAGTATGCATTCACACACATATTCAAAGTCAGGAACACAGACACACAGCTTCCCACCCAAATCTCCAGGGAGTTAGTCAAATGGTGAAATGCTTCATCGTTCTACGGGTCACCGAATCTCTCCTCTCTCTCTCAGTCTCTCTCTTTTCGCTGACTCTCCCCCTTGCTCTCATTTCTGTAACCTGCTGCAGTTAATTGAAAGCCAATGGTGTGAGAATATGGCTCTTTGACAGAGAGCGTGCCAGAGTGCAAGGTCTCTCATTCTCTTTTTCTCTCTTTTTATTATCTTGGAAATATATATGAAGATAGATTGAATAAAAACTGAGCAGAAATCTCTGCCTGTGGCCCTTTGGAGGTCTTTAATTTGTATCACATTATTAATGCTGTTAGGTAATCTGCCAGTTTCAGTTGTGGCTTGTTGAATTGAAGTTGAAGAAGCAAAAGCTCAAACTCAAGAATTTCTTTCTTTACTAATCCAAATGTAGATCACGTAAATCACTCGAGCACATTTTTGCTTGGAGACTTGCTCAGTTTTCTCTCAAAATGACTCTCACATAACCTCTCTTCTGCCTTTAAGCTCAGCCCAGGTTATATTGAAG